CACACCACTGGGCCCGCAATCTTTCTTCCTAGGAGTGGCAAACCCATGCACTGAATGCACATTAGGTATTATTGAAACCAAGGGAGCTGACCAAACCAGCAGTCTGAGATGAAAAGCAGTAGCGTAACACTGAGGGATGATGGCTTGGTATATAATGCTTGTTTGTAGGATTCCTTTTAACAGTTTGCAGGAGACGATGGGTCTGATCCTGCTGCTAAACTAGATTTTATCTATCTGTGTATGTTGCTGGGGAGAAGGGAACTCTGATATTTTTTGAAATTATTCCACAAAGGAGACTGTCTTCTGAATTTACAGATATTATCCCTGTAGACATCAATGATAATAATACAGCAAAAATAATTTCAGGAAGTCATCAGGGTAAAAGAAAAAAACCCCTGCAATTCAGCTGTGAGGGAGAAATCTCCATTTTAATCCAAAGCTATGATTCTGTTCAGTGTTAAAATTGGTTTGGAACTTTGGTAACGAAAAATTTCACTAAGGTTTAATTTCCATTTTCTTTTCTCCTTATTGTTTGGCAGTCAAGGTTGAAGCTAGATCACGCTATCACAAAGACTCATTTGAGTTCAAGAATGCAGCTCCCAATTCTCGGCTTGTGACCCAGCCAGGTGAAGGAGGACTGGGACCCGACCCCATTTGTAATATTTGCCCTGCACTCTTCCGTGTTCCCCTTTAACATGCTGAGCTTAGTTGAAGAAATGAGACATACTACTGTGGATTTCAGCCTGCCTTTAGCTTACTGGGCTGCAAAATACCAAACAGAAAAGCCATAAAGAACAATAATCATTAAAACTACTCCACCCTCAAGCTAGCAGCTCACTCCAGACTTCGGTCGGAAGCCCTGTTAGCTAGATGCCTTTATGTTCAAACCACTTTGCATGAGTCTTACTCTGAGTGATTCCAGTGTGAATATGACATTACTAATGACCTGCTAAGTGTGTACAGATGTGGGTTTCTCCAGATGTGGTGATTAATAATGTAATAGAGATAGCTGGTTGACTCATGTTTATGGGTTGTTTGCTTTTTATTACTTTTCTGAGTTTATTTGCTTTGAACTATTTCTTCACTCCAGCCAACAAACTCACCTTTAAGTCTCAAAGGGCTTCATTCCCCTTAATCTCACTGGGGAGACAGGGAAGAGGAAATATGCCCCAGGCAGGAGCTAACTGATGGGTCCATCCCATACAAGCATTGGATTATTGGGTTACTGGGAGAGCTGAAGGCTGCTATCTTTGTCCCATTTCACTTCAAGGACCCAGAGAGGCAGTGGTGAACCCTGACACAATGTTTGCAGCCTGGCAAGGAAGCTAAAAGGAAGGTATTTCTTTAAAAAAAAAATTCTGGTAAAATATATGATCATTTTGCAGTTACCCAGAATTATTCTGGCCAGTGGTTCTGGAAGACTTTGCTTTGCTCTTGCCTGAAAACAGAGTGCTGATGAAAAGTCAACTGAAATGTTGTTACAGATGTTCAACTCTGCATTAAGGCTGTTGGAATTACCACCACATCTTAAATCAATTCCTGGAACATTGTCTGGAGGTTATGTCATTGAAATAATGAATCCTCTTTAGTCAAGTATAAGCAAACATGTTAAAACATCATTGTAACTTTAAATTAAACTCCAGCACAAACCAGGGGATCTGAAGCCTCATTAGACTTGCCTGACATTTTTCTAGCACGAGTCTTCCCAAACTGTAAAACTGTTAGATTTGGTGCCTATTAGACAAGGGAGCACTGGGAAGTTACAACAGAACATTAAGTGTTATACTTAGGGATGTGCAAAAACAAGCCCTTGAATTTTATGAGTACTTGGAGACTGGATGGAGTTCAGCTCCTATAAAAATTCCACATTAGATTCCTGAAGTTGTTTGTGTTTTAAGGAAGCTGGTAAGTCAGGATTCTTTAAAGAATCATGTCTTCATGTAGCTCCCTCTGCACAAAAGCAAGTAAGTGAAAATGCCGGAGATAGAGTTGTGTTGCAATTAGCCAAAAAGTAGGTTAAATACGAGCCTGTAAATGTGCGTTGTCCTTAGGTAGTGACCCATTACTTCAACACATTTGTCTTTTGTGAAAGTAAGTAAATTTAAGTCTCCCTTTTAATTCCATTTTTATTCCTCACATGTAGTCACAGAAGCCATGAAATGAAAATTATATTTTATAGCTTAACTAGAAGTTATCCTAGATCCGCATTCTTTAAATGCGCAGAAATCGGTAGAACCTATATAAAGGATAATAATTAAATATGGTTTATATCCTACTTATGAAAGAGAAATTATCCCTGCTTTTCTTGTGAGACCTAAGCCATATGTAATGGGCTGTATTACACAACGTTCATGTATTTAAGCTGAAGACATTTTCTCCCATCTCTTCAGGGAACAGATTTCCAGGACCTGAGTGCAGGAGAAAGCTTTGAACACAGTTTCATTTGAGAGAACAAATCCCTGTTTAAATGCAGTATGATTATGATGGATGGCCTCTCTGAATTGCAATGAAAACAAATAGTTTCCTTGTATAGAAGACATGACTTTACTACCTAAACGAGGTGTGTCCTGGAGCTGGCTACCAGGTATTAACTTGTAGGTCTCCCAGCTGAAGACCCACAGAAGTAAGCAGCCAGCAAGGAGGTGTGAGGATAGTGGGCATTTAACCATAGTGGATTATCTAGTATAGGCCCAAGACAAATGGGGAAGCAAAGGAACCCATCAGCAGCGTCAGTGAAGGTGACTTCTGTCTGAATCTTATAACTAGTACTGAACCATTCTGTAATTGGACCCTAGTCTCACCCAGCGGCATTGAATAAAGCCAGCCATGTCAACTAGATTGGATGAGAGAACTTTTTGAATATCGCATTGTAAACTTCAGAAGACTTGTGTGAAAGAGAAGAACTGAACTTGTTCCATTAGTACACACACACACACACACACACACTATTAGCCTAGCATACTACACAACTAACTTAGGTTTTTCTGAATACAATACAACTACTGCAAGCAGCCCATATTGACAGTGACCTTGTATTAATGATAGACTCACTGCACATGTCCCTACTGCGTTCTACGATGGAAAATGTGCAAGTATATGCACACTTGCACAGACACACATGCACACATGTTTCCATACCATTGTTGCCTTGGACACCCAGGCTCCCATCTTCTGAAAGGAAGATGAATTCAGGTCAAGCTCAGAGTGCCTGTTTGCTTGCCGAGAGATGCATATCACCTCTAAGTGATTTTTTTCAATACCATTTATGTGGCTTGTATTTATTTCCTTTAATCTTTTAAGTGCTGTTTAGTCTCTGTGTGATTTGCTGTGGATACTCATTTCTGATAAGATGCGATATCCTTCCAGCCACACAGTCTCTGCCTGCAGCGCTAAGTGACTGATACAGACACAGCCTGAGTGGGGCCTAGGGGTGGGAGACAGGAGGGAGCATGGGGTGGGGTGAGCAGCTGTGGGCATCTGCAGGTGCATTCTTGCCTTTATTTCTTTTACTGCTATCACCTCACATGACACTCTTGTTCCCTTTTCCCTCTGTTAGCCAGAATTGGGCAACCCCAGGCTGACAGTACAATAGAAAAATGTGAGAAGTGTTATACTCAGAAGCAAGTTTGGAGGGTGGTTGGACTATTAGAATCTCTTCTGAATCATGTATCATAACCTAATAGACTTAGAGCTTTCAGAGAATACCATACTACGCATGCCCACGTATGCGTCTTCCTGGATAATACCAAGTAGTGGAGATGGTATTTTCTCCTCCACCTGAGACTCCTACACTGTGAACATATCTCAAGCTTCTTTCAATATCATCACTGCTAATATTTCTTTTCTTAGCTTTATGGTGACCTCCGTGCATTCTGAGTTTCAGGGGTGCTTCCTCCTAGTCTGTGTTGCAGTCAACTCTAAGAATCCCAGGATCCTATTTTTCCTTCTCGACATCACAGCTTTAGCCCGGATGGTGGGGGCGGGGAGAGCAGGACTAGAATTTTGCCGCTGATGCCCTTGGGTGACAGGCTGGGTATGCATCTGCTAATTATCAAGCAGCTCTCTTAAAAAGAAGCATGATGCAGGCTACTACATCGACAAAGCTTATTAGTGAGTGTCTTTGGGCAAGAGCAGTAGAGTGTGCTGTGTTGTTTGTGAGTGAAGCTTCACATTGCTTAGTGGTCCGTGTGGTTCAGACTTTTGGAAAACAGCTTTTGGTTTCCAATCCTCTCCACTACCCTCATCCCTGCCCCGCACTGCGTCATCAGAGGTACAACTCAATGGCATCCTCCTCCTTCATCCCAGTGCCCTTCTCCAGCTCGCTGTCCACCCTCACCAGCCCTGGGTCTCCTGTCTTAAAGAATTAAGCAAGGACCCCATTTGGCCTCCCTCTTGGCAGATGGACGGCAGAGAGCCGAATTGGGGTGGGGATTCTTGAGCCAGCACGTGCCAAGGTTCACAGTCCTGACTGAAACATTGGCCCTCAAGGTCTCAAATCCTCTCCAGGCCTCTCTCTCTGGGGCATGCAGGGATTGGGAACCAGTTAAGATGGTTCATCTGGAGAAGCAGCAGGCTGGCAGCAGGCTGGCAGCAGGCTGGAAATATAACTTTATTTCCGATTTTGGTTACAAGAAAACTCATTCGATTACCTGACAGAGTAACCAAAATTACCTCTAAGAATGATCGACTGTCCATGCATATGTATTTTTGTATGCAGATAAATCACAATTTCTTTTTTTCTTATGGCAGGGCATTTCTAAGCTGTTTTAGTCTGTTTAAAGTGCATGTTCAAAGGCTGGAGCATAAAGAGGTGTCGCTTCAGCCTTCTCAAAGCTGGCCTCTCTGACTAACGCATTTGGTCTTTGTCACTGGGTCCTAAAAGACAGCCCTGAATTCCTAGTGAGTGACTGAGCCTTGAGTGTGTGTCCTTTGATATCTTGCTGTATTTCGCAGTCTGCCCTCAAACTGTTCCTAATCTCATGAGCTGCCTGTATTTCCAGTTGAAGATGAGCAGCCGTCAACGCTATCACCAAAAAAAAAGCAACGCAACGGGGGCATGAGGAACTCGCCCAACTCCTCGCCGAAGCTGATGAGGTAAGGAGGCACAAGGTCTGGTTCCCTCTCTGGCTCCTTCTTGTCTCCTCCTGGCCCCCTCCCCAACCCCGGCCAGGCCCAGAACTCCCCCCGCCTCCGCAGCCAGCTCAGGCGGGGGAGGGGATCGTTAGATGGCTTCTTAAAGGCTGGAGTATTTATTCTGTCAGCTTGTCAGCAGTTAATGATAGAGCTGAAAAAATTCTGTCATGAAAAACAGTTTGAAAAGCTGTTTGAAAAATACATAGGCTTTAAAGTCTTAGCTGTCACCATGTCCTGTCTGTGTGTAGTTCCTAAACAGCGGTGGCACTAATGACGCCGGGAACCAATCAGAGGAACTCTGTGGTTAGTTTGCCTGCGGCAAATCTCTTTCTGCTGGAGTCCCTCCGAGGACTGTTTTCTGTACTTAAGGCCATATGTGAGATGTATCATCACAATCAAAAATGAACCTGAAGATTACCTTCCTTTTATCCTGTCGATTGAAATCAAATTTCTGTTAATTGATTTTGACTGATAAAGAAAAGTCTAATAATCTGTGGACTTGCCAAAGCAAAGTTTAAAAGTAATTCATTTCTGCTCAGGCTAAAAGCAGTATTAATTATGAAATACAGCCTGCTCGCTCTCTTCTTCGTTTTCTCTCTTTCTTCCTTCCTTCCTTTCCCTTGCTCTTTCCCTTCTTTCCTCCTTTCCTCCCTCCCTCTCTTTCCTTCATCTTCTCTCTCTTCGTTTCTTTTTTCTTCCCTCCCTGTCTTCCTCCTTCTTTTTCTTTTCCTTATTCCTTTCCTGCTCTCTTGACTGTGGCTTTCTCTAAGAAGCACCAAGTGAAACAAGATTTCAAGAGTTCTGCAATTCCCTTTCTTGGACCATTTCTCTCTCTTCTCCCATTTGCTTCTCATTCATCTACAGATTCATCCACAAATCCCAACACGTATTTCCTCTGACCTCCAAGTTCTCTAAAGCCCTCATGAAACGGGAGTGATTTCAGACGTGCACTGCTGCCCTAAGTGTTCCCAGCCATCGGAACACCTTGCCCCTTGATGTTACTTTCTTCTTTACCATTGGCCCCTTTCTTTCCTTGGATCATTGGTACACAATCATGGTGATCTCTGTGGCCCATTTCTCCATGATATTCTTGCCTCCTGGCTTTCCACATGCATCTGGGACAGGATAACGGCTGCCCTTCTTCCCCAGTGGGGCACACAGTCTCTCAGTGGGAGACCCACTCAGCCCTCTCTCCTTTGCCATTATGACCAGCTTCTCCCATTAAGTATTTCCTTAGGAGTTCTTGCCTCCCCTGGCTCAGCCTTGCTGGGTGCTTCTGATTTACATTCTTGTTTACCGTTTATGAGGAGGAATAAAATGTACCAACTGCCAAATCTCTCATTTTATGATGCCAGTTGTCAGGCTCGCGCTCATTTCCTCCTTACTCACCTTTAGGTAATCGGCTTATCTAATGCTAATAGTTTTTTCCATTTAAAGGAGTGAAAAAGCCCAGGTGCTTTTGCTTTGCCTAAATTTAGAGAAGCAAATAAATAAATAAAGAGAAGTCTGAAAAATCTGAAACCTTTGGAGCCAAATTCTCTGTCCCTGTTTGCTATGTAAAGTATGGTTCGTTTCTTTGATCTTGAGTAATAATAATTCTGAGGAGTTACACTGTTTTCATATGCTTCAAAGCTGTGTCAAAGTTTTGCTGCTTAAGGGTACTTCTTTATTCTGTTGGCTCTTGGGTACCAAGATGACAGGTCTCCTGTATGAGGTGGAGGCTTTTTTAAGTCGTAGCCTTCAGCAAAACATCAAATTACCAAATCCAGGGTAACATACTTCTACACAAATGCCTTTCCTGTAGATATATTATACCATATATATTAAATACTTTAGTGTTACACGCTACATTTTATGTGCAATAGAAAGTGATGGTTTGAGGTAGCCTTGGGGGGACTCTTTTTTTCCACAAGCAGAGAAAGCTAGTGTATACCGTATCAAGTATGGTTTTTACAGGACTTTCTGCCCGAAGGCCTTTGTAAATAAGTAATGATCAACAGATTGGCTGTGGGTTTTTGAAAAGCATGCCTATGTCAGTTTGCATGATGGGGGAGAATTTTCAAAGTGGATCTTGCTTTCATTGCCTGCCGGAGAGGGGCTGAGGGAGGCAGTCATCCCAGGCTAGAGCTGTCTGCTCTGTGGTACATCAGAATTGCTAAACGGGGGTCAGGTGCTGAGCCGAAACTTGCCAAGCCATAGAACTGGAGCGGCTCGGGTTGGTGCTTGTGCGCTGCTGCTGCTGCAACCACAGCTATAGTCACAGGGCTGCTTTATCCTACCCACCCACAGTGGTCTCCATGGCAGCTCAGGTGGAATGGATCATGCATCAATGTCTTTCTTGACCATGACTTTCCACGTCCAGGCACTTTATGAGCTATGATTAATGAAGAAGAGAAGGAACAGGGCCTCTGCTGAGCCCTCTTCATGTTCTTTTATTTCTAGTTTTTGAATGAAGTAAAAAAAAACAAAAAAATCCAAGAGCTTTGTGGTTTGCCTTTGACTATCCAGCCCTGGCAGTAAAGCTTCAGGGGCTATTTTTTGGTGGATCCCTCTTGCTGATTGGCAAAAAGCAGAAGGGCTCTCCCAGTGCCTTGTGACTTTCCCAGTTCCCCTCACCTCTTCAAACATCCTCTTGCTACACTTCAGAAGATTAGACTCCCAGGTCCTATTCCTTACAACCTCAGAGAATCCATAGAGGAAGCTAATGACTTCTCTGAAGTGGGTTTTTCAACACGAGTTTGTAGCTTGCTATTTGAACAGAATCAATCATTCCAAGTGTCGGCAGGTTTTAGTGGCCTATGGGCAGTGATAGGAACAGCTCCAAGAGAAACTGGAGAGCCCAGAATGGGCCAGGCTGGACTTTAATTTACCACTGTGGCTTCTGCGGATAAAACATGCTCTTGTGAGGGTTTCTTCCAAATCATCTGCCAGCAGGAAATGCTAGAGGGACTCTCCACTAATGGTCCTTGTCTCTCCTTTGTTCTGATATCGGGCTTACCCTAGTGTTTTAGTGTCACTTAATTCTCTGCACAGTCATTAGGTGAACAGCCTTGTTTTGTGTCTGGATCCTGAGGTAGTATGTTTTTTAGCCACCCTGACAGAAAACAACTCTCACAGCCAGATAGAGCTAAATGAGTGCATGCATTGCACGCCAAGCACATGGGCATAATGATGGATCACCTCTAGCTCTACACCCACTGATGAGTGAGCCCCCGAGGTCCCCAAGTCCCATCTTCCATCTGCCTCTTATCTGTCTTCCATGTTGGTCATTTCACATGGAATTATTTAAGGAGTTCCTCCTAGTTTTCCACCAAGTATCCCCCAAGCACTTATTACCTGGTTCTTTCTACTTAGTGGATTTGTACTTTGTAGACATCCCCACAACTTTCCTCAATTGTATAAAACACTTTGATGGGCTAGCCCATTCCTCCTGAGCTGTGGAGGGCGAGAACTTTGTCTCAGTCAAGGATTCCTGATTGGGAACCTCACAGACCACATTCAAAGAAAATTTTCTAAGGCTGAGGGTGTAGCTCAATGATAGAGCACCAGCCCACCATCTACAAGGCCCTGTGTTTAGTCCCTGAACAGTCTGCATAGGATAAAAAATACACTGAAGGCCATTTTGACTACAGTTAAAGCAGAGTTATAGATTTCTGAAATCCTTGCTAAGATTGCAAGGTACAACCACATTCAACTCATCCCTTGGCCACCTTCAAGTCACTGTAGCCACCAGAGCATCCTGCATAACAGGAATTTTTCTCCAGCGAGTAGGTGATAACGAGAACATGCCTGGTCTTTAACACTGAGTGCTAAAACAGAACCCCAAAAGGCCATGTCCCTCAACTGCCTGCTCCTATTCTTGTCCTCAAATTAAGTCCCATCCAGCAATGCTTGGTGAAAACCGTATGTGTTCAAGGTATTGTGGAAGGTCTCTGGGAGATCTAAAGTAAGATGAATTGGGTGAGATCCCTATCCTCAAAACGCTGAGGAGACAGACAAACATATATAGCAAACTACCATAGTAGTGACTTAGAGATCATAGTAGCATGGGCTATGAGAACAGAAAGAGCTATCATTATTTTGGTCTTAGAGGCTGTGCTTGGTTTGGGAAGGAGTCATTTAACTTAGTCCCCATCAGAGTCAAATTCTCTGCTAATACTAGTACCTGCTCTTCTTTATAGTTTACCAGGTGCCAGGCATCATCATCCCAAGAGTATTATGTCTGTGAACTCAGAGTCCTTTTTACAACTCTATGAGAAGTTATTAATCTTCCATTTTCTAGATGAGGAAGCTGAGACACAGATACTGTATAGAAAGTCCAGTAAATGAACTTAAGTCTCATTGAATTAGGAAGATGGCAGAAATAGGGAAAGTGCTCAGAATGCTGCAATTGTTTTAATGTGGCTGGAACAAAGGGTCTTTGGAGTGACATCACAGGTGCTGAAAATATAAAAATGTTCTGGGACTCAGTCCTGAAGACTTTTGCCTGTCATAGGCTTTGAGGAATGGAACCCTTGCAGATTTGTGAAGAAGCAAAGTCCTAAGTGATTTGGCAGTGTCATTGGTGGTGATATAAAGGTGGGTTTGGAATCCCCCAGTAGGGCCTTTCTGGGGACCATAAGCACAGAAGTATAAAAGAGGGAGTCCACTCAGCCTCAGCCTCTGCCAGCTGCTTTGGGTACCAAACCATGGAGGGTTGGCCATGGCCCAGGTCTCAGAGAGACAGTTTTCCCTGGAAGAATGCATATCATTCCTGACACTGGTCCTGAGACTTGGAGTGAGGTAGAGACGCATAGACCAAGGAGATTTATGTAGGATGTTGGCAGGTAGACAATTCACACAAAAAGATAGCTCTCAGCCAGGCCAATTATTAACAATACCCCAAACAGAGAAACTGAACACCTTGAGGAGGGTATCATGTCGTGAGATGCAGAAAATATTGGACCTTAGGTTCCCTGATG